GCATGTTCAAGATTTCCTTTAATATAAAAGGTTACCATCCCAGGACAGCCAGTACACTGCCGCTTGATCAACTCATGCTGAGGGTGTGAAGGCAACCCTGAAATTAGAAACATTTGTCAGAGTTCGTTTATATTAATCACCATTACTTCAAAGACAAAAGCAAGTCATCATAAACTGTATAAAAATACGTCAGAGGGAAAGGAATATTAAGCCCACTGCCAAGGGAAACATCCAACCTAGAGTCTCCAAACACTATGGGTGACTAAATGGCAGTACTACAGTACACCAATGCATGTCGCTCCAAGGCATCWCCTGCTCCGAAGCCAGGCCAACCTACCCGGGAAAATGACTTTCTCCACCCGAGGATCTGACTCGAGAAATTGAGCAACAGCCAACGCATTGTGGAAATGTTGCTTCATCCGGAATTGCAATGTCTTCAAACCACGATTGCACATATAGCAGTCGAAAGGAGATGGAACAGYTCCAAGAGCTACAAAAATTAAAGGATAAAAGACTTCTTTTTGTGGATATAAYAAAGKATAGTACTAATTTTTAAGCTAACCCCAAAAGCAGATACAATCTCTGCTGATTCCTGCTGAAACTTGGCTTCCATCTGCACAGAACTTACCTTGGACCTTGAAAACTCAAGCACAGCATTCTAACACAAAGGTTTCAATATTCTATAGTTAGAACTACGTAATGGGAAAGACAAATCTGATGTCATTGCTTCTCACCATCTCACATACGTGAGAAAAAATGACGTGAATTAAAAATTGCAGRCTTGAGGATGCAATCCGTTAGACTTAACATACCTTTACTATTTCTGTAGCAGACAAGAGGCAGATAAACACTCCTTCTTATTAGGTAGTAAAATTCTCTYGTTAAAAAACAAACTATGCATGAAAACTTTATATTAGCTGAATCCTCTGATTTGTATACGAGTTTAAGAAATTCCTAATATAACTGAGGTAAGTTAGATGAAATTAAAYGCATAATTTAAAGGTCTCTTTCTCCTAATGTGTGAGGTCAAGTGAATATTGGAAAAGATTGAGACCGTGGCAAAAAGCAYACAACTTTAATCCTGCAGTGACAGATGGGGCTTGGATTCAAGCAGCTACCACCAGTTCATCCCAGTTCGTCAGTCCCCTGAACTGCACACAGAAAAGGGACAGGCCATAAAACCAAACAACCCTGATTTCATCCCTGATTTTGACCATTKGTTGTCAGGCMCTGAGATTTAAGAACAACACCTTTCTTCRACACTATATACAATCTAAATGGTAAAAAGCAAATAAATAAACCCTAGAACACATGATAGAAAAATACCCAGTTATGAGGTACTTTTGAGAGAAGATTAATGTCATTAACTTTATTCGACCAKGAAGCCGTGGGGCCATCCTGAAAGCTATCATGCTTGTGCAGCACTGTGTTAAATACTTTGGAAAAACRAGGAAGAGAAATAGGTCTCCTATATGTATTTTACTTTTCCTCTCTACATATTTGTATCTCCTCACATTTACCTGCTTGGGCTACATCTCTAGAGACAGAGTTCATGCTTGTGTGTGTGTGTGCGACATGCTTTCCATTATGAACTGGCGTATTTGAATATAACAATCAAATATAATGCATTTGATGGTATTCCCTACAGGAACTACTTACAGTTTTGTAAGAATTTGAGCCTTTCATAAAGATCATCACAATTTACTGAAACAAGTCCCATCACAACATCGCTGTGCCCTAAAATAGAAGGAAAAACATGAAAACAGTATTAGTCACTGCACCTAATTGATAGAAAGCAGGACTTCATCCAGAAATTAAAGGTGTTCTTGTGGAACGGATATGCAACACATACTGCTGCTTTAACAAGAAAAATCAGGAGCAAGAGTGCTTCCACTTTTATCTATGCCACAATCAGAACATGTGGTTACAGCACAAGGGAGAGCATTCAAGTTGTATTTTAGACCGGATGGTTTGGAAACACCACAATGAATATGCTTTTGAACAGGTTCCAACATAGCCATACAAATTCTGCCTTCACACTTAATATCTCTGCTGGCAGCTACTCAGGTGATGTTGCTTTGTTGTGTTGCAGCCAGAGTAAAGCTAACATGGCTATGAGCACCTACAGACAGCATACTTCAAAGTCACGCCAGTATTTCTTTCTTCGAGAACAGTTTAGGAGCTATTGAGACTCCTCAGACTAGAACTCATGGTCTGTCTAAGAATCACTGGCAAACGTGCCCGTTTTTATGAACTGCCTGCAGCTGCTGGCAGAAAGCAAGGCAGCCAGAGCAGGTGGAGTTGGAGCAGACAGCAGGAGAGGAAGCACAAGAGGAAATGGGCATACACAGTATGATCAGAAGCCAAAGCTCTGACTGGCAAGGCTGCATAAGGAAATGCTATGTGCAAGAGAGACAGGATTTGGAAGGCGATTTCAAAGGCTGGATTCCAGTGAACGGCATCAGGACAGAGTGCTTCTACAACAAGCTCTTACTGCACAGCACCGATTATGCCAGCAGCCAGCAACCACAAAGGGACCAGGGCTCTGTGAGGTGACCCCAGTCACCTGTGGCCTGCCRTTTAGATTTACGGATGCTGTACGTGTACATGGTGCATTCCCAACAGCCRGGACTTCTCCATTCTGAACACTGTAAAACCAGCCAAGCCTGGAGGGAGCATGGTTTGAAAAATAATGTTTTATCTCATGGACTTGTTCGTTCCATTAAGGCA